TTTTTCATGCATTCTTAAAAATAAAAAAGCACTGCACAAAACAAGACCGAACCGACCTAAGATTGAGTATCAGTGTAAGTGACACAGGACAGGGAGTCCACCCCTAACTGCTGGCAATTGCTGCAGAGACATGAATGTACCATTTTAGCTCATTACTGGGCCAACAGGATGAATGTTCTCCCAATGTAACAAACCCGTTGACCAGGACAAGTGTACTTTCTCATAGATGAATCATCGCCGATCATAGGGGAGGGGTTGGTCTTGTGTCCTTGAGATATAGATATAGATATATTTTTTGGAAAATCCCCACAAAGGGCTTCAAACAAGCACTTTCACTTCTAATGAAGATTCATCCCATGAATGTATTTTGACCACACAACACACACCACAGGTGCAAGGAGAAGCAGTCTGCTTTGCTTTTTGCTTTTTTTGTTTTTAATTGTCAAGCACCACCACGTTACAGGGTGAATCTACAAAGATAAGTGCCGGATGCTTTCTAGAAAAACTGTTGCCTGAATGTGTGGCCGGTGAGCAATGAAATGCCATTAAACTTTGTATAGTGTCACGTAGGACTGCTCAGGAAAAGAAAAGAAAAACCATTGAAAAGGAGGTGAAATGGAGAAATTAGCAGTGGTGGCTAAACCTTTACTTGATTGCATTATAATGTTGAGGCTGCCGGATTCCTGCTAGCAAGAGATTTGCACATTGGTTTTCATTCATATCTGCCTCAGAACCTTGCCCTCCTCCCTTTTGATTTTCTGTAGAATAAAAAAAAATCCATCTTTGGACTGCAGTTCTAAGCATATTTACTTGACAGCAAGTCCTGTTGAACTCAGTGGAGTTTGCCTCCCAAGTAAACGTGTTTAAGGTTGCCCTCAAAAAAGAAAACATTCATTAATCCTGACACTACACCCATAAAAAACACGCAAATCCTCATTTTGCTAGAGGATACCTGTGCTTGTCTTTTCTTTAACTGGGTTACAGTTTTTTAAAAAAACAAAATGCCTAGAGAGTAATTATTCTTTATTCAAGCCTGCTTCTCTTAGGAATCCATTTTCCTTGCTCTACACCTAAGTGGATTTAGATAAACCTTCCCCCCCACCCCCACTCCTGAGGTATTTCTGTACAGCCTAGGTAACCTAAGTCTCCTACCTATACTTTAATCTAGCTATCTCTATATTTGCATTAGTCTGTCTTATCGTGAACCGGTCACACAAGAATGACGGAAACAGTTTATTGACTCCTTTTGTGCGTGTCAATGAAAAATTGATTTGGGGTGCTCACACCCTCTTTTGAACTCAGATTCTTGCCACTGTACAGTATATGGAGATGCATAGAGAGACTTTTTATATTTCTGAATGTTGTACTTTTTAACTCCTTGCAAGCTTGGTAATACACTATCTAAATGTCTAAAAAACAATAATGATTGTCTTGTAAGTCTGATGTTATTTCCTTGAAGCTGTGGGTTGCAAAGGTGATGGGGAGAGAAGCCCCAGAGCGTGAATTACACTCTGAGCAAAGAGTGGGGAGGGGGGGGGAGTCATGCTGGAAGATTTCAAGCAAGTTGGATGTGTTAACCTTGAGGACACATCTCAGGTTTCCTTCTACAATGCCCTCCTGCGCTCTGATGTAATTGGTTCTACCCTTGTTTAATTCTAGGGCTGCCACTAGTTTAAAGAATCCATTGTATGAATGAGTTGATTAAGTGATTGATTAAGCAACTGAATTTACACAGATGTGCCAGTGGGTACAGCAAAACTTCCAAAGAAAACATACTTTTAAACTATTGTGCGCTATGTCTTGCAACGGGCACACTTGAATGCAGAAGGCTGGCATTGGGTTTCCTCCATGCTAACTTTCAGCTTTAAAATTGCCTTCTCCCTCTCTTCCGAGCCTTCACTGCTTTTAGCCATGTTGAAAAAGTATGACTAAAAATGTAGGAATGGGGGAGAAAATCGCTACTATTGAAAATGTAATCCAGACATGCCTACACCGCAGTTTCCAAAACAATATGCAAAGCCTGTGAATCCTCACACCCCAGCAAGCTGGTCCCTTCATTGTGAGTTGGTGAGGGAGGTTGCCTTTTTCTCCTTGAAAAGTACATAGAGCTGAAGGAGGAAGTTGGAAGAGCAACTCAGGTTAATGCTTCTGAACCTGACTTTTCCTAGAACCCTTCTAAAAGAAGGAGAGGGGGGAGAGACATGGCAAGAGGAGGTGCCACTTAAAAATCCAAACTTGTCCAAGGGCCTAAAAAAGTAGGATACCCCTAGATTAGTACAAGTGATAAGGAGGTTCAAGTACGTAATAGATATCTCTCTTTTTGACAGTGGCATTCCAGCCACTTTTAACATAACACACATCCAAGAAGCCTGTGTGTGTAATTACGTTATCTTTTCACATACAGACTGTACAAGCTTTGTTGGAACACCTTTGTTGGAAGAAACAAATATGTCCATCAGCAGAACCGTTGTTGGAGACAAGAAACAGAAAGGGGGGGGGGGTATGTGTGGGGTGGGGGTGTATTTAAAGGAACCAAGGCTTTGAAGACTGGTGGAATTAAGAATTTTTTCCTATTTGCTTGCAGACGTTTGAGTTTACATTCCATTTTCCCTCCTTTATTTCCAGTCACAGGTGTTGCTGCGGGGGTAGGGGGTATTACTAAAGAACAGAGAGGGCACAAATACATAGGGTGTTCGTCTACACAAGCCCCATTGAAATGAAAAAGAGCTCCCTGAGGGAGCATCAGAGTGTTCCTGCAGAGGTCATATCCACACCCAAGGCTTTTTCCCCCCACCCAGAACTCACTGGAACTCAGTTCTGGCATCTCTCAGGTGGGCCCCATTGCTATTCTAAGAGGATGAGGGATGTGTTCATAGTGGGTTCCGGCACCTCCTTTTCTAGAAAAATAGCACTGTCCACATTTAAAACAAAAGGCTTTCCCCAAATTTTGCTATAGTTTTTATTATTAAATAAAACTGTACTTTGTTAAGGGTTGGCTAGAGCTAAATTACAATTTACAGGATTATTTGGGGGAATTCATGCGCCCCGAATGTATGGTGTTAATGTGATCTCAGTGTCCATTCAGTTGAAGATGTTGGGGATGAATAGCCTGAAGAAGAGCCAATTAAGAGCCAATTTAATACCCATTAAAGAGCTGTCACGTAGATCAAATTTGGGGGTTTTATTGCTCCAAATAATAGGGCCCAAAGTCTGGTGGCTGAAGTTGTTTTACAGCAGAACAGACTGCCTCAGCAGTTGTGGGACTCTTCCTCCTTAGACATTTTTGAGCAGAAGCTGAATGGCCACCTATGTACCTGGAACATGCCCCAGCCCCCTTGAGCCCATTAAACCTTCTGGTTGGGTCCTCTGGACAGTAGGAGCCTAAGCTGTGCCGGCCCACCAACTGTGACCCTGCTGACTTTCCACCATGAAATGCCACCAGCCACAGTGGGGTGGCAAACCAGGATTTTTCCTGCATCAGCAGAAGATTTGACTAGAGAAGTCTGATTACAACGGGGCTTGCTCCAGCAAATAAACCAGTGAATTGTACTCACCTTAATTTGCAATTGTTGTATTTACCAATAACGTATACATTGAACTCATAAATAAATAAGTCACAACCTTTTTTTTTTTTAGAACATCAACAACACACTACTATGGCCAAACTTTAAATTTTGTGCAAAATATTTTTATTTTCAGATTTACAGCTCTTGGCATCCAGGCCTGTTAAACACATCCAGAGAAGGAAGCAGGTGCTGCCGGATTTTGCTCATGAGCATATCTGAAAAATAAGGTTAAAAATGCAGTAGGAAGAGCAAATCAATTTGTTAAAAGCAGCAGCCTCTCCCTGTTTTCAAAACTCACATTACATAGTTTTATGTCAAGTCAGGTTCCAGGTGTTACATATACTGAGCTAGAGTATTTTTTTAAAACAACAACAGCAACAACAACAAAGACTAGGTTTCCACATCAATGTTTCTCTGGATAGTGTTGCTGGAGGCCATTGAAACCAGGCAGACCCGGCAGTTCTTCCTCCTATATCTAACTTGGTCTAGTTTGGCATTCAGAAAATGAAAGAAATATGATAAGAGCAGAGCGATGCCCTTCTGTTGCTGTTGGACTACAATTCCCACCAACCCCAACCAGGGGTGGTCATGAATGATGGGAGTTGTAGTGCAGCAACAACTGGAAGGCATCACTTTGCTCCAACTCCCACCATCCCCAGCCAGCATGGCCAATGGGAAGGGATGGTAGGAGTTATAGTACAACAACATCTGGAGGTCACCACAGGCTCCCTATCTCTGATCTAAATGTAACTTAAGGTCCCATCTGTACTAGGCATTGAAAGAATCCTGGAAACTGTAGTTAACAAGTGCTGAGAGTTGTTAGGAGACCCCCTATTCCCCTCACAGCGCTGCAACTCCCAAAGTTCTCTGGGGAAAAGGATTGATTGTTAAACCACTCTGTGAATTGCAGCTCTGGAAGGGAGAAGCCATGACAGTTTAAAGTGGTATAACACGGCTTTAAATGTAGATTCAAATGGGGACCTACTCATAATATACTCACTTATTTTACATTTCTAATCCCTTGCCCCAAATACATTGGAATGGGAAAAGAAGATAACAAAACCAACTTCGCAAAGCCCCAGTGATAAAGGGTCTGGAGACATTATGAGTCTCCTTAATTGTAAGGAGTTGAGGGAGTTGGGTATGATCAGCCTACAGAACAGAAGACTGAAGGGTGATATCACAGCCATCTTCAAATATCTATAAGGCTGTGATGTGGAAGAAGGAGGAGCAAGCTTGTTTTCTGCTTGCTCCAGAGGGTAGGACCCAAACCAACAAATTAAAGTTACAATAAAGGAGATTCCACCTAAACATTAGGAAGAACTTTCAGACAGTAAGAGCTGTTGGACAGCGGAACGGACTACCTCGGAAGATGGTGGACTCTTAATTCATTGGTTTTTAAACAGGTTGGATGGTCATCTGTCAGGGATTCTTTAGATGTGATTCCTGCATTGCAGGGGGTTGGACTAAATGACTTTTGGGGATCCTTTTCAACTCTGTGATTCTATGATTCTATAATTCTATGAAGCCATTGAGCTCAGTCCACCTCAGCTTACAACAGACAGCTCTGACCTTGTTCCCATGGCAAATTCTTTCTCATTTGGTAGCAGACTTAATTTTGTGGATGGCATATGGGCTGGACTCCTTGGGTATCCAGATCTCATCTCCCTCGTGGCCCATATGGTCTGCCGCTCCTTCCAGGGCCGCAGTGAGCTCTGGCCCAAATATATTGTTGGAGTTGCGGTAGGTGCGAGTGAGGCGGCGGAAGGAGGAGTCGGAGGAGCTGTCATCGTGGTTCTCGTCATCCTGCTCATCCTGCAGCTTGGTGGTCTCCAGCTCTAAGCTTTCGCTCAGCTCTGCAGCTTTGAAAGCCTCCTTTAAATCCTGGAGGAAGGCCACTTTGGGTGCAAAGAGGAGGAGGAGGAACACCAGGCCTCCTGAGACTCCGCACAGGAAATAAAAGCCCACCTTCTCAGGAACGCCTGCAAAGAAAAAGGAAAGTAAGACTCAACAGGGGGGAAGCCAACCCACATTCTCCTCCCTTGCAGAGATAGGGTGTTGAGAGGGAGGGGCCAATAGCAGAAAGGACATGGTTTGGGGTGACTGAGCCTCCTGAATGTGGCATCGGCTCCAGCCACCCTCTCCTCCTCATATACCTAAGTCTGCAGTTTAACTGGAGGAAAAGAGAGATGGACTGATAAACAGAGAGGACACATCCAATTTATTGTGCACTCAGTGTGACTCATGCATGCAAGTTTACAGCGCCTGCACCAGGGATGAGAAGCCTTTGGCCCTCCAGATGTTGCTTGACTACATCTCCAATCAGACCCAGCCAGCATGACTCGTAGTCAAGAACGATGGGAGTTGCAGTCCAACAACCTATTAGAGGGCCAAAGGTTCCCCTTCCCTGTCGCACACAATTCTGTTGTCATCAAAATGCTACCCTGTTTATTTTTCCTGTCTAATTGGAATTTACCACCTCCACACCCAGTTTTTACTTACTGCATATCTGCAGAACTGGCAAATCTGGATTAAATGGGGGGTGGGTGGGGGGAGGACGACAACATGCAACCCCTGCCCATTCATTCCAGTGGGCTTTCCTTCTGCAACTCTAGGATGATGTCTTTAAAGAGGGTGGGAGTTGCACCCATAGAAAAGGCATCCCAAAAGGTCAAATGTGATATGTGAGATCCATGATGGGTTCACCCTTTTCTTGTAGTGTTGCTTTAAGGTTTCAGTTTTTATTGGAGTGAGTGGAGTGCTGCTTCCTTTTTCTAAATCCCACTCCCCATCTGAAAGCTGCTAACAGTCTTGCTGTGGTGAGAAGATGGGGATCTGTATTGTCCCTGCTTTTCTCCAGTGAGACTAACAGATGCTTCAGATCTGGAAAAGGCTGGGGTAGGAGACATAGGCGAAGCACCTTTCTCCTGAAACTGCTGAACTGATAAAAATGGCTTAAAAGAGCTGCTTAACAGTTAAGCTATCCTGCTTTACAGAGAGCAGTCCTCTGTTTTCAGAACAGACCACTATGGCAAGACATGTTGCATTTCTATTACAGCTATGACAGTCACTTCTACATCAGAATCTATAACACATAATTTAGCATGTGCAAACCTTTTGCCCTCTCTTTTTTGGGGGAGTGGCACATTTCCTCTGTTCTGGCAGTAACTACGTGCCACCCCCATTTACCGCAAAGGTCGGGAGACCCAGTCACAGCTTTGCCGCCCGCATAATGTTCGCCATGGGCCTGATTGGCCTGGTTTCCCCCAGCATCCCAACTCTGCCCGTCTTGCACACCCAGGGAAGTCAGACATACCCCAGAAAAGGGCAAAAGTTTCCAGAGAGCTAGTAAATATCATCAGATTCTCTTGGAGCCTGGAAAGCCTCGGCCCAGTGTACCAGCCACCTGCAGCAAACAAGGGGATAGCACGTTCTTACTGACAAGGGTTTCGGGAGAGAAGGGAAGCCTGCCTAACGTTCAGCCTTAAACTGCATCTCCTTTATCATGTAATCTATGGAACTCACCATCACAAAGGGGAAGGACCAGGGCTCAGTGGTGAAGCAACTGCTTTGTATGCAGAAGGTCCCAGAAGGTTCATCCCTGGCACCTCCAGGTGGGGCTGGGAGACGCCCCTGCCAGAAACCCTGGAGAGGTGCTGTCAGTCAGTATAAACAATGCTGGTCTAGATGGACCAATGGTCTGACTCGAGATAAGGCAACTTCCTATGCTTTTAGCTTGTAGTGACGACAACTTCAGAAAGTACAGATTTATTACCCATGCTTATTAACCATGAGAGCTCAGTAGAACTTCCATGTCCAGAGGCAGTTAGCATGTAACAGCAGGTGGTTAGTAGGGGCTGTCACCATTGCACCCTTTTGGTGAGCTTTGGCCTCACTCTCACTTTCTCTGCTTCCTATTTACGTCTGCCGACCAAAAATGTTTCAGGGACCAGAAGGATATTATTATTATGTGTGTAGCCATTTCTATCCCACCCAACCCTGTTTTTATCCACATAACAGCCCTTTGAGGTAGACTAGCCTGAAAGTGCATGACGAGACTAAGGTCCCTTGGGGAGTTTCAGGGCTGACTGGGTCTGGTCTCTCTGGTCCCAGTCCAGTGCTCTAACCAGTACACCACACTGCATCTTGCTTTCACGTGAAGAATGAATCTCAGAGTCCTCTGCTCTGCTAGGTGACAGGTGTGCATTCTGAGGATGAGGTGATTAAGTTATGTGGCATCCAGATATTGAACCATCATCTACAGCAAGGTAGGGCTGGCTGCAATCTGGAGTCAGTCAGTGTTGACGATACCATGACAGATGGACCAAAGGCCTTGCACTCAAGGCCACTTCCTATGCAAGGCTGGTGGTGGACACTTCAGGCAGCAGGGGCAGAGAGCAGAGGTGGCTGCCCCCCCCCTGACTGTTTCTCCTACACTTTCCAACTACTCCCCTCTGTTGGAGGACAGAGCTGTGTACACCACCCAACCTGTCTTGCCACACCTTTAAACTAGCATGCTGCCACTGATGCAATGGAGGGCATTGCCACATCAGCCGTGTTGCAATCAGAATTATCTGCCAACCCAGTTCACTTCTACACATGAGATGAAAATAGACACTATCTTGCCCTGTTGCCTCAAGGGGCAGACTGTTCTGGGCTAGGCCTAATCCAGTGCTTCCTGTCCTCTCTGGTCCTCTCTTTCATGGCCAGCTGGCTTTCACTCTCCTTCCCTAAACAAAAACTACAGCTGGTGATGCAAGGCCCCATCACCACTATTGCTTCTTTAATATACTTTAACTGGCTTCTAGCTGCTGCTGCTTCCATCCATGGTTGCTCATCTCACAGTGTTAACACTCAGGATAGACTCACTGACCCAGTTTTTGCTTTGGAGACATGGCTTGTCTCTTGCCCCTCATGAATGAGCACGGGCAATGAATTTCCCTCTGAACATGAGGAGATTAGGTGAGCCCAGGTGGGATCTTGAGCAGTGAGGGAAAGTCACAGGAGAACAAAGATGGGAAATGGAACCCCCATTCAAGGCAGAACTGATAACAACTGAGAAAAGTGGTGGGCAGGGAACTCGACAAAATGAACCAATTTATGCTGGAAATGTGAAGAGATTGAAGGGACATATGTGGTGGGGTTGTAAGAAAGCCAAAGATTATTGGGAGATGATATACTCAGAACAAACAAAAAAAAAGATGGTAAGGTTCTCATTTCTCAAAAAAACAAACAAACAAAAAACACTCCGGAGATGTTCTTATTGAGTATAGTAGAGGGTGAAATACACAAGAAAGTACTTAGTCTCTTCCTCTAAGCAACAGCAGCGGCAAGAATAATTTATGCCCAAAGGTGAAAGGTGAAAATAGTCCCACAGAAGTAAACTGGCAGAATAAGCTAATAGAATACGCGGAGTTAGCAATGTTGACTGCAAAGATAAGAAATCAGGATGAGTTGGATATAAAAGAGGAGTGGGAATACTTTAGCGAATATTTAAAGAAATACAGTGGACACTCCGGATATGAACTTAATTTGTTCCAGGGGTCCGTACATACCCCGAAAAGTCCACAACATGAGGCACCGCTTCTGCGCACACGTACGGTGCGCAAAGCGCTTCTGTGCATGCATGCACGGCGAAACCCAGAAGTATACCGGGTTTGCTGCATTCCCAACCTGGAAATTATGTTACCCGAAGGTAACATAACCCAAGGGTCCACTGTATAACAACCAGATAAACTTCCAAGTGGGGTTAGATATATGCCTCACTCTTTTTTCCAAATTCCAATTGTGAAAAGTTAAAGTGTGGCTTATATTCAGGACCTTACACTGCCGGCAAAGGGGCATGGCTCTCCCCCCAGGAAGCAGCCCAGGAGTGCTGCCGCCCGCCACTCCAAAGCCTACCCTGAGCCATTGGATCGAAGGGGGGAAGGGGGCCGCTGGCAAAGCAGAGTAGACCAGGAGCACGGGGCAAAGGCGTGCAGCCAGTCTGCTGTGGCTTATATTTGGGTATTTTTTTCCCCCTCCCTGCCCCCCTCCAATTTTAAAGGTGCAGCTTATATTCGGGTGCGGCTTATATTTAGGCCAATACAGTAATTAAGGAGATGCAGCTCAACAAGGTTCAGATAAGACCCCTGGGAAACACAAGACTTGTGTCCTTTTAATACAGTGAATACTAGGGGGAGAAGCCAATAAGGATGTTCTGGGTGCTATTAGGCCAAGGCAATTAGCTAATGGAAAGGAAAGGAACATGCTTTGTCCCTCATGCTTTCTGTTCTGCACACAAAACAGGCTCAGAAGGGCCTTAGTTTGTTCAATAGGGAATCTAATTAACAATTGGGACCTGCACAAAATGCTTTATTGAGGTTGCAACCAATCACTCCCTCCAAACAGAACACTTAACCACCACTCGCCTCCATTTTTATTTTTTCCACCTACTTCATGGCTACATTTTGGAATACCCATTGGGTTGTTTAGGAAAGGGGGGGTTGATAAGTTTTTTTTGGGGGGGGTTAAAAAGTTGCAAATCTCATGATTCTGCTTATCATGCGGATAGCACACTCTTCTTTCTTTGCGGCCCCAGTTAGGATACAGTCCTCTCAGCATTCACCACCTGAGACCACAGTCTGCAGAAGGGATTGCCTGCCTGCCTTAGATGGATTGTGGTGGTAGAAGATTCTACCAGCAGATTCTAAAGCAGAGCTTTACTTGTGATTAAGGTAAAAGCGGGATACTTACCATGTGTGTAGTCTGAGATTAAGAAAGGGTCTTCTTGGGAGTTGCGGCCCACCTCTTCCAGCAGCTGCCTTGGCACTAAAAAGGGGAAGAGGAATCATTGTTTGTGATTGGGGTGTGTGTGTCATGGTGGAGGTTTTGCTGCCAACTTTCAGCACAAAATGGACTGATGCCCATTTTATAGTTGCTACTGTGTGCAACAGTGAATGCTTGTGCAGGAGGTAGCACACTGTCAGTGTGTTTGTGAAACAGCCATATACACAAGGCACAAGGGGTGGTATTCAACGCTTTAGCAATAATAAATCCATTAAAATTAATTAACCTAACTTACTCATGTTCAATAATTTCAATGGGTCTGCTCTGAATAAAACTTAAATGAATAGCACCTTAAGAATTTAACAAGGCAGACTATGGCTTGATAAATAACATAAACATAACGTGGCTGCAGTCAAGACAGACTAAATAAAGCAGACTATGACACACTGAACTTAAACTCATCAGATCAAAACTATTCTAAGGAGAAGGACAACACCAAGTCTATTAAGACCAAGCAAGCAACACTTAGAATCAAATATGCAAGCAGCAGCAAGATTAAACTTAAAAAGTTTTATCTTAATGAAAAGGAACTATAAAGATTTGGGGTTTTGAGTAGACAAGGAACAGCTGGAATAGTACTGGTAAATAGAAACACATGAATAAAATAAATGCTTCCATCTAGAATTATTTAATGTCACTGCTTGTCAGAGAGAGAAACATTAAGTACAAGAAGCACATGAGAGAACATGTATTTACTTCAATAATAGGTAAAAAGGTAAGGTAAAGGACCCCTGGACGGTTAAGTCCAGTCAAAGGTGACTATGGCGTTGCGGCACTCATCTCACTTTCAGGCCGAGAGAGACAGCATTTGTCCACAGACAGCTTTCCGGGTCATGTGGCCAGCATGACTAAACCGCTTCTGGTGCAACAGAACACTGTGACGGAAACCACAGTGCACGGAAATGCCGTTTACCTTTCCTTCTACTTGCACTGGCATGCTTTCAAACTGCTAGGTTAGCAAGAGCTGGGATAGAGCAATGAGAGCTCACCCCGTCACAGGGATTCGAACCACTGACCTTCTGATCAAGAAGCCCAAAAGGCTCCTGAATGCCAGTTGCTGGAAACCACAGGAGGAGAGAGTGCTGTTGCAGGCTTTCCATATGCATCTATGTGGCCACTATGAAAATAAGATGCTGGAATAGATGGACCACTGAGCTGATCCAGCAGGGCTGGTCTTAAGTTCTTATGCCAGTCATGATGGCTGTTTACTACCTACAGCGTCAGAGGGTTTCTGAATTCCAGTCACTGGAAGACAATGGTGGGAGAGGTCTATTGTCCTTGTGTCCTGCTTGTGAGCTTCCTTGAGGTATCTGGGTTGGCCACTATGAGGAACAGGATGCTGACCTAGAAGGGCCTTTGGCCACAGGGATTTTTTGTGACAGCAGCAATTCTTATAGGTAGGAGTGCCATCCATATCTTAACCTTCAGCTGTCAAGCAGTTTAAGCATTCTCCTGTCCCTCTGATTTCTACAGTGCCAGTTTTCCAATCAAGCACAATTTGATACAGGTTTTTTTACGTAGCTTACCGCAAGTATAGGAGACTCTCAGCTGTTTCTTCACTCCAGGGAAGCAGGGGTCTCCGAAAGTGGCTTTATCAGCAACAATGGTGCAGTTCTCCTTCTTGTGACACCTCCGGGAAACTCTCCTCAAGGCATCAGGAGCCAGACACTCTAAAGCATGGACACAGCACATTCAGTCCCAAAGAACGGTGCAGAAGTGCCACACCTGGCTTCAGTTCAACCACAAACTTAGGGGTAGGAAACAGCATAAGGCAAGTAGGTTAAATCCTGCCTTCTCCAACCCCCCACCCACTACAGGCCTGACAATCACCTGATATCACACTTCTGAAATTTCCTTGTGACTAACAGTGGCATTCTGAAAGTTCTCTTCCACTGTGTAAATTTAAATGGTCTCCATCAGTGTGAAGGTTATCTGTCATCACTTAGGCTCTATTACTGCTGGCTTCAGGTTTTGCAAGGATCTTGGGCAATGGTGCCCTTCTCCTCACTTCTGTTGTTGCTGCCTATTCACTGATCTCTTCGGCCTGAAGTCTACAGCATATCTACCTCCAAGCACCCTGTTTTAAGCAGGAACCATAGAAGTCAATCCCAGCTTCTGTTTGTATCCTGGAATGTCCCATTTTGTGGCCTGGCACTCACTCTGGCGCAAGTCAGCAGGGTCAGTCCAGCACTTTGGGATGACCCAAGTGATGACTGCCAGACCACCAGACCAGAAGGCATGCCCCTTCAGATGTTCCCATTCTGGAGATGAAAATGTTGGAGGGTATGATACAACTGTCATGGGGAGGAGAGAGAGATGAGAGAAATTTGCTACTCCTTGCTCCCATAATGTTTCTTCTACCCAGAAAGGTGAACAGAGAGAAACAGCAAGGAGGAGAAGCAGGGCTAGGGTGCTCTAGTAGTTGGCATTCAGCCCCAGATGGAAACCAACCCCTAGTGCCAGGTTCTCAGACAGTTAGTATACATTATTCACCTTTGGCCAAGGTGGGGAACTCTTTCTAGTTGGCGAAACAATGCTTAGGTGCCCCAACCCCTGTGGATCTTTTTGACTGGTGGATAGTGCTGCCCTTCTGTCAATCACCTTGCATCACAATGGCTTCAAGTGGGGCATCTTGATTTGCCTGTGTGATTTGAAATCAACCCATGCGGGCAACGGCACAGGGCACTGCAGGTGCCACCTGCCTACTGATGTGCAGTATCTACAAACCCAACATTTGGCAGTGAGCAGCATCTTCACCTATTGTATGCGACATCAGATGCAGGGCAGTTGGTGTGGCATGACTGAAGCAGACCCTGGGCAATGTGGGGAGACCAGCCAGATTTCTTGTGGCTGGTTTTCAGTAACAAGTCTGATGCGCCTGTTCAAAACCACATTTGTCTTTGAGTGATGCAAACAGCATGAAAAACTCAGCAGGTGAGTGAGAGACTGGGTGCTAGGAGGAAAGGGGGCATTGCCTAAAATTGGAACTCTCACATGTTCAACAGCCACTATCTCTGATCTCTACGGAAGGCCTGCCTTTCTCCAACAAGCTTCCAAGTGGAGATCTTTATCCCATTATGTATCTGTGATGTATCAGTAAATGTTACTACATATGAAATTGCTTTTAATTGTTTGTATGTATGGGATTGTTGTTTATGGTCTTAAGTAAGGAATTGTTCTTAATTGTTTTAATTGCAGGTGTTTGTTTGTTTTCATAGTTATAACCCTCGCTTTCATAAATATCTATATCAAGGTGCTATACAATGTGTAAGAATAAAATTTGCAAACTATCCATAAAAAAACCATCATTTTAAAAACAGCAAAAACAAATCAGGAAATATTGAATGGCTAAAAAGAAAAAGGAAATTCATATTGCAAAGTCCTGTTTAAGGAAGATAGTTTTCAGAAGAAGGGAGGGATGGTTCTGGCTAAACATCTAGTGGCAGGAAGTTCTACAGGACAGAGGTTGCCATGCTAAAGGCTCAGTCCCCTGTGAAGGCCAACCAAACTTCAAAGCCATAGGGAGCCACAGGAAGTGCCCCGCCAGACGCTATCAGTGATTGGGTCTGGAGATTAAGAAATGAGATAGTCCTTAAGGTACTTTGAAATTGCTTTGAGATATTTTGAGGGGAGCATTTCAGAAATGGAATCTGGTAAAATAAATAAATAAAACTGATCTGCTGCTTTTAATCCTTTGGTGACTGTTCAAGCTCCAGAAGCTCTTAGCTTTGTCCTGGGAAACTCCAGGCCACTGCCATTTCCCTTCATACCTATGTCAGGTCCCGTCCTGTTCACCGATTCGCATTCTGGCTTTCCCCGCAAAGGCCTCCCATAGATGGCAGAGTAAATAGCTAGGATGGACTTGTTCCGGCACTGCAGTCTCAGTTTTTCATTTTCACACACGGTCTTCAGGCGATGGTTGGCTAGGACACAGGGATGGACAAATCTGTCAATTTCAGCTTCTCTGAAATTTTTCATTTTTTCCACTCACCCGTTCTCCACATTTCCACATCCAGTGCTTTTTTTCTAAAACAATGTTTAGGGGTACTCATTTTGACTTAAGAAAATCACTATTTTATTTTTATTTTTTTCAACAATATTTTATTGGTTTTTCCAGATACAGATTACAGAAAGAAAGACAAAAAAAGAAAGGAAAATAAAGTAACAGAGGAAAAAAAAGTCAACTTTCCAAGATATTTTTCTCAAAACCAACTGGACTTCCCCACATCTCCCCCACCCTGCATTCTTTACAATAAAGATATCAGCAAATTATTACCTTGTTTCGTGCATTCCTTTGTACTTTCCAATAGTTATACTTTATGTTTAAAACTCATTGTCTAATTACTTTACCTTCGAATAAAGATCATGTTACTTTAAACGTTGGTCCTTTCATAATTATAAACTTAATTTCCAAATCACCGAATCTTATTGCTGAAGCTAGATTTTCTGGATCATGCAAACTCTTAACATTCATATAACTTAAAATATTTTTGTAAATAATCTTTAAATTTCCTCCAATCCTCTTCAATTGTTTCTTCTCCCAAATCTCGGATTCTGCCAGTCATTTCAGCAAGTTGCATATAGTCCATCAATTGCGTCTGCCACTCTTCCAGTGTGGGTAAATCTTGTGTCTTCCAGTATTTTGCAATTAATATTCTTGCTGCTGTTGTTGCATAAGAAAATCACTATTTTATAGTTCAAATCGGGGAAAATAAATATAATAAATGGACAAAAGTACAAAGATTCACAAAATGTTTAGGGGTATGCGTACCCCTGCGTACCCCCAGGAAAAAAAGCACTGTCCACATCCATTTGTGATTCACCAGTATTTTGGTCTCCTAATATATGCATGATTGTGTGCAATTTCCCCTATTATAATGCATTTTTATATGTTATTTTCACCAACAGATGCACACATGTTTTATGCACACATAGATGCGTTATTTTTCAGTTTATTCTTGCTTTTATCACAATATGTGCATTTTTGTACACATTGCTTGACTGCGGACTGCTTAAATAAGAAAAGCAAATGTGACTTCAAAAGGAACATCAGAATCATAAACTGCTAACACCAATGAACCCTGGCCTAGTTAATGCCTTGTTGAACTCACTCACCTGGTCTGCATTTGTAGGAGACCACCAAGTACTTGTGCGTACCTGGGCATGGATCAGGGCCGAACACATGGCTGTGGACAGAGAAATGACACCATCGCTGGTCCTGACACTCATCCATCATTTTCTGTAGGAGAAGGAGAGGCTTTAAAGTTGTACCAGAGTTAAGTTCTTTGTTAGAAAGGTGATGGCTCGTGCCTAGAAAAAACTCTGCTGACCTGGTACCCTCCAGATATTTTGGACTACAGCTCCCTACAACTCCCATCAAATTCCAGTGCAACTCCCCATAAAAGTCAATACCAGGGACACCCGGTCCCATTTTGCCGCCTGAGGCAAAACAGGAATGTGCCACCTGCCATGGAAACCTCCTGCCTGAAGTCACTCTCATTAGGGTTGTGCAGTGGCACCTGCCAAGTGGTGATGTCGTCACTGGATTCTGGTGAGCTCTCAAAATCACACGAGATTTTGACGAGGTCTCGTGAGATTTCATGGCATGTATGAGATCTTGCCAGAAGCCGCCAATAGTAGAGGGGATGGGATAGGCTGAGCACCTGCCCCTTGGAGTTCTGCTGCCCAAGGCAACTGCCTCATAGTTTTGGCCATAGCCCAAAAGCAGCTGAAGGGCTACAGGCTAGCAAAGGATGACTACAACATGTGTGGGTAGAAACAACCTCTCCCACGTCCCACTGACCTTCAGAGCACCCACATGGGAGATCCTAACATATTGCACTCCATTCCAATCTCCATGAGCAGTGTGATATTCCAGGGGTTTCTGGTGCTTTACTCAGGGGGTCTGTGTTTCCCTTTGGACAATAAGGCACAGGGGAGACTGTGGTATCTTTCTGAAATACGGGTTATTTACACATATTTACAACCTGAGTCTATTGTGGAGGGGGTTCTGAGTAGGGTTGTGTGACTGGCTTGCCTCCTGGTGCCCCCGTCGACTCAACCACCAGAGCAGGAACAGCTGGTGCCGAGAGCTGTCTCGGCTACCTCTCCTCACACTACTTTCCTTCTTTTCTCTCCCCCTCAAGCCCCCCAGCCCGCTCCCTGCCTTCCTCGGTTCGATTTGCTCGATAGCATGGCCCAGTGCAGAGCAGGCGCTCTGTTCCCCGGGTTCTGCCTTAGCACCCTGCTTGGGAGCCTCCTGCCCCAGCCGCTGCCTCTGAAAGGCAAGTGCAAAAGTTGAGCTGAGGCCCCACACACCTTCTCTCTCCCTAAGTCCAGCGAAGCCTGTCTCTCGCCTCAGCCACCGCTGCCCAACATACGTGCTGAGCGCTTTGTGCAAATTTGCCTTATTTTCACCACTTTTAGAGCTTTATTTTTCAAAAAAGGTCTCATTGCCATACACCTGAGTTTTCCCAGACAATTTGCCGTGAACTGGAAATTCCTCCCAGATGTGGTTTTCAAGGTCAAAATCCCAGATATGTCTGGGAAACCCTGGACGTATGTCAGCCCTAGTTCTGAGCATCTCATCCTAAGCAGTGCCAGCTTCTTCCAAAGGCAGCTGCATCCCTGCCCTGCTGCTTGCCTTTCCCCCAAGAATGGTCACATCCCACCTGTTCTAACCTAGCTAGTCTAAGCCCTAGTACACAGAGAGAGGCCCCACTCACCTGAATTCTCTCATCTAGTTCTTTGATGCTTTGTTGTGCTAATGGATCATTACCTCCAAGGAAATTGGGTTGAACTCTATTACCTCTGAACCCATGCTGACATCACAGAATTAGTGATGTCTGGTACAGGTCTAGCACAGAGGTCTGACTCAATTAGCCTTCACACATGCTAATTAAATGATTAACAGGGACTGTCACAACTAAAATACACATGTGGATGTCTATTAAATACACACAAGTCTAGCTATTTCCCCAGGTTCTAACACACAAGCGCTACCGGAACACACAAGCGCTACTTAAATTCTAATGTTTACTGACGAAACCACAGCTGCCAATTGCTAGTCTTCAGCCAAGCACTAGATGGAGTGATGTGCTTTTAGAAGACCCTGCAGCTGCTCATGTTATCTCTCCTGACTAGATCAAAGCCTGTTCAACTCATGACGACCCAGCAGTCCAAACAGCCAGTGGTGCTGTCAGGGCAGAATTTGGGGGCAGAAATCCAGGGGCCACATCAGAGGGAGGTCTGGCTTAGCACGTTCTGAAGTACGTGAAGGAATGCACATTATCATTATGGAGTGTCCCCTTCCTTGTAAGCCCATTAAGCCCAGAGCCTAAAATTAACTAACTGCACCACTACAAATAGCTTGTTTCCCAAGGTATAGAAAGGCAGCAAAAACAGCTGACTTATCGGATACTGCAGATTATACATTCAGAGAGTCCTCTTCCCTGTAGGACCATTACTGTGAGCCTACCCATACAACCTCTCCCTAGGAATCTCTTTTATGAATCTGAAGAACATAAGAACAGCTCTGCTGGGTCTTGCCAGTGGCCCATCAAGTCCACATTCTGATCTCACAGATGCCAGCCAGAAACCTATGGGAAGCTCACAAGCAGGACGTGAATACAATAGCTCCCTCCTTGCTTGTGATTCCCAGCAACAGGCATGTAGAGGCATTGTGCTTCTGACCATGGAGGTAGGAGTGGCTACATTGGTGGCTATTGGAACTGGTGGTGCAGGGAGACCAGCAGTAGGCAGAGCTAGAGTCAATGACAGGCAGAGGCATCCCCATGACTGCTTGTAAGTCAGATGGCAGGTAAGGCTGGCTGAAGTTGGTTGGGCAGCACCTCATTTGTCCTCATCAGCCAGCTTCCATGACTAGTAGCCATAGTAGCCTTATCCTCTTGCCCAGCACACTGAAATGCTTCGTTCCATCCTCTGCATTTTTGGCATATTCTTGTTGACACCAGCTACTCCTGTAGCAACCACATTACAGCTGCTACTTGCGGTCATTTCATGAAAGCAAGGAAAATCCCTACCTAGAAACCCCTTCTGCATGGGAAAGGAGAATACAGTGCTACCTCCATGCTGATTATCACATGAGTGAAGATCACACATGTTGTGTGCATGCAATGCTAAGGAGACATAGTGAGCTATGCAAAGAAGGAGTTTCCTGGTGACAGCAGTGAGTCGGATCTTGATGCAAAGTTCTGAATTACTAGAGCACAAGCTTGCTTCTCAGGCCTCCTCCCCACCCTTCCCATCAGACCCACTCTTTGCCAAATGAATTGTGCAAATGAGGAAATGCCTTGACTTTAATCTTGGATAAACATAGCTGGCTGGCTTGCTTACTAAGCAAACTTTGTTAGTTCATCTTGGATGGGTTTTGTACTCTAAGCAGCCAGTATATTGTGAAGTAAGTGGATGAGTCCATCAGTTTTGATTTCTTTGATTTCTTATTTTTCCAACTGCAAGTTCATTTCACTGCATTTCCATATCAGTTTGCAATTATTATTTATTTCAAAAAAAAGTCCCCACAGATATTCATCTGTATTTTAGTGGATAGGTGTCCTAATTTTTGTGAGCATTTTTTAATAAAAATTGCATCCTACCATTCTTCCAAGGACCATAGAGTTCAACCCCCCTTACCCATTTTGTCTTCACAACAACCCTATGAAGATTAGGCTAGAATAAGAAACAGTGACTGGACCAAGGTCACCCAGTAAGCTTCGTGGATGAGTGGGGATTTGAACCCATATTTTAGTTCAACACTCTAACTGAAGCTCATTGGGTAACCTTGAGCCCTTCTGGCCAGGTCTATTCTGATTTCAGATGGGGGACATTCCCAGCTCTACCTAGAGAAGTTGGGGGTTGAATTTTCTACCTGCAAAGCAGATATTCTACCACTGAGCTGCAGCTGCTTGATTAAAAAAAGGAAAAAAAACTTGCACATTCCAATTTTTAAAAATAGCATGTTAATTTCTGCTCAGCAAGCAGTGCCCCAGTTCTCTGTTATTAATTCTATCAACACTTTTTTGTGCTGTTCTATGTAAATGTTAGGGCCTTTTACCTGGTGGGCTGTGGCAGACACACAATCGGTGCTTTCCAAGGAGAGGTCTTCTGTGGTTGGGCATAGGTTTCGACTGGGCACTCGGCGTCCATAGAATGCAGAAAGGACACTAATGGAAGTCTTGTGGGGGCAAATTATTGTCATCTGCTCCCTATCACAGGCGTGGGCAGTATGGTTTTTCAAAATCTTCTGTAGGTAACCTGATGGAAAAACAAAGCAAATGGGTTTGGGTGTCTCTGGAAAGAAAATAATGCTAAATATGTCTGCCAATCTCCTATCATTTTAAAATATAGAAATAAGTGAAACCATCCACTTCTGGACCAGAACTGGCTTAGCAAAGCTATTTTTTTTAAAACTTGAGTGTCCACCAATCTTTACTCTCCTCTATCTCTTGGTGCCACCATCAAGAAATGTGATGAGTTTGGGTTGGTTCTTGAGACCCTCATGATGTAGGAACATCACTTAGAGGGGGCCCAGGTGTGCATTCTCTGCACCTGCAAAAGTTTTGGGGTGGTTACACAGATTCATTTCCAATCAGTGCATATGCTGCAACTTCCTGCTGAAATCACACAACTTTTTATACCACAAATGTTCTGGTTTATATTGACCCCACTTTTGGCTGAGGGCCTTCTGGCGGTTCCCTCATTGCGAGAAGCAAAGCTACAGGGAACCAGGCAGAGGGCCTTCTCGGTAGTGGCGTCTGCCCTGTGGAACGCCCTCCCATCAGATGTCAAAGAGATAAACAACTACCTGACATTCAGAAGACATCTTAAGGCAGCCCTGTTCAGGGAAGTTTTTAATGTGTGACATCTTAGTGTACTTTTGGTCTTTGTGGAAGCTGCCCAGAGTGGCTGGGGAAACCCAGCCAGATGGGCGGGGTACAAATAAATTATTATTATTATTATTATTATTATTATTATTATTATTATTATTATTATCTTAGCTATTTCCAGAAAGGCAGCTGCGTTGGTCTGTTGCAGCAAAAATAATGCATACTATAGCACCTTAAACTCTTTGTTGTACTTAGTCATTTTTGCTTTTTGCATGGAGTTCTTTCCTTTAAGGCAGCCCTACTCCTGGGAGTAATTTAAGTTCTAGAAACCCCAAATGTGACAAGAATTCCCATTATGGGGTGCATAGGGGTGAGGGAAGAATGCATTAAAATTAGGAAGATGTACATATCTACATAGTGCTTTCAAATGCATTTGAAAAATTCGGAAATGAGCTGAAGAATTGCCCTCCTAGATTCATGTCAATAATACTCCAAGGCTGCTCTTCAAATGAGGACCAGCAAAATGTCACCCACTTTTCTTTTTAAAGTCTGGAAGAAAAACTTCCTAATGGTAGAGCAAAATATCTCAGAAGGTGGTGGGCTCTCCTGTCAAGGAATCTGTAATTTCCTGCAACAGGGGTCTGGGCTGGATGACCCATGAAGTCCCTTGCAACTCTGTGATTCAAGGAGTCATCAATCAATAGGCATGTCCAACAGGTAGATTGTAATTCACTGGTAGATCACTGGACATTTGTGGTAGATCACTGGTAGATCACTGGCTCCCCCAAAAGAAGCTCAACAACTTTGGTTCCCCCCAAAAAGCTCAACATAGTTGCCCTGCACCCCCAAAAATGGGACTTTCCTCCTCCCTAAATAAAGCTCAACAACTTTGACCTGAATCCCCAAAAAGGGGGTAGATCACTGCCAGTTTTTAACTCTGTGAGTAGAACACAATCTCTTGGGAGCTGGCCACCCCTGGTCTAAGAAAAAGGCTCTTTGAGTCAGCCTTTCCACTGTCCCCCTTCCTTTCTTCCCACCTCCGCCTCTCTGCATGGAACAGAGATTTCTAAGATCTTGTGTAAGGTTAGTGGAGGCTGCCTTCCTTCTACAGTCACTGCCTGTTAGGAGACAGCAGTTGCAGCAGGATGGATGCTGGAGAAGAGCCTCCCTCCTCTCAGTTTTAGCTCATCTCACAGACTCACCTGAAAACTCGGGAGCTGCCTTCAGCAAAGTTGAAAAACAGAAGAAGCCCAGCACAACCCCAAACATCCGAAGCCAACTCATCAGCCAAGATCCGGGCATCGCATCATACACACAGTCCTGGTTTTCCTGCTGTTGCCTGCCCCTGTGCTCCAGACTTCGTGGTCTCTCTCATCTGTTTCTGCTGCTGGAACTCAAATGCTCCTATTGTCCATTCACAATGAGCTGGTTCTTAGCACTGCCGGCAGTGCGGGTGTGTTTCCTAGTTAACCAAAAGAGGTCCAGTAAGTCCAACGTTCCTGATTGGACTTACTGGACCTCTTTTGGTTAACTAGCCCTAAGCCAGGGGTAGTCAATTTGGGGCTCTCTACATCAACCCCTGCCAACTTGGTCAATAGCTGATAGTCCCAACAACGTCTGGAGGGCATTATTGCCCTAAGTTTAAGAGGCCCCAAAAGAACGTTTATTATTCCAACAGAAAGGACAGTGAAAATAAAAACACTGCAGTAAACATTTATATCTGCATATATCCTGGGAGATAGGTGAGGATGCATCTTAAAACTAGAAATCTAACTAAAACGTGTCTTGCAATAAGTGTATTTGCACGTGAGATGCTTTCACAATGAAAGTACCTTTATGATTTCGTATTTAGCATATATTAAAACCTTTAATGTACACCAAACCAAGAGCAGTTACCTGGCTTAGTGACATTTTGATTATGGTTTTTTCTTTACAGATTTATAAACACAATACGATGGTGTGCAGCTGATAAGTATATTTCTGTCACATCTGAATAATGATACCTGTTGTAGAGTCTGGTTTCCCAGTTTCCTTCCTTTTTTAAGCCAGTTATGTAAAACTTGTTTTTTGGATTTAGATGCCCCTTGTGGTCTGATGCCCTAGACAATCACTTACCCAGCTTGCAGATATATATATCCTCTCAGGTTCATTTTTAAATTGGCCATCATACACCTGGGTTACGATGTCTATCGATTTTGGTTTGTACTTTAAAGCAGCAGTTTTGCCAAGAGATCAGTAGCAGCCTGGACAATCTCTTGGTAAAATCTAGGCCAAGGTGAGGTGAGCAGAAAGCCAGGCAGCTGCTCCCTCCCCACAAAAGCAGGGGCTGTGGGGTTCTTGAACCCCAAAATCTGTGTTGAGTGAGGCTGGTGGGAGCCATAATCCCAAACATCTGGAGGGCACTGGGCTGGGGAAGGCTGGGTTAATCCCTCAGCAACACATCAATAAGTTTGGTTGAATGCCCCACAGCCAAAGAGATTGTCTCATCCACCACTGCCTAACAGAATACGCTGGTTTTGAAAACTGAGGTCAGCAAGGACAAAAAGGCAAGACACAGAGGAGCACCAGTGGAGCTCTTTAAACAGAGCTGTGAAAGGCGGCTATTTATGGCAGAACACAACATACTGGACAAACATCAGCCGGTTTTGCCTCGTGGCTTGCTCTGAAGAAAGGCAGCATGGTTTCTCTCCAGTTTCTAGGCTTTGTTAAATTGTTTAGAGAGGAAAACTTCCTCCCTTCAAAATAAGGGGAAAGATTCAGTTGTGTTGAGTGATAGTTTTTTGTTTAGTTTTAGAGTTTTGTTTTCATTTTGTTTATTAAATGAAATAAAAATATAAAGTGTAAACATATTGAGTTTGGTCATGGGATCTGCAACAAAATGTTGCAGTCTGGAATGATGCCAGGGTTCTTGCCAGTCAGTTATCTGATCTTCCAGAACATTCCTTTCTTCATTCCCATCCCTCCCATCCTGCACAGACACTCAGCAGCTGGGGGGGGCATAAAATGTTACTGAGGGCCACCAAAAAAAGGCCTTGAGGGTCACATGTGGGGCACACAATGGAACACCCTGCTCTAGCAATAATGTGTGGGGTCGAAGGAAGGGGATGTGGGGTTGCAGGGGATGTGGAAGTTTCAGATGCTTTGGGGTTTGTGAGGTTCTGGATCTGAGGGAGAAATAGGTGTGTTTTACTGGGGTTTGTGTTGGTATGTGGGGTTGTATTTGTATGCATTGGAGTCTGTGGGTTGCAGGTGTGTGTTGCAGTATGATATATTATGGGGAAATTTTGTCAAGGGGCTGTTTTTTCCAGTTCTTTGTGTGTCTGAGCATCACCAGTGTGTGGAAAGGGTATTTCATGGTACCCATGACAGTTTATTAGATTTCTAAATGTGCCCCTGGGCCCTCAAAAATGGGAGTATCTTAGTATACTGAAAGTGCTTGAGAGAAGGTATCACACACACCCCAGAAAACCCCCCAAATCTAGGAGTGATATATTAAATAAGCGACCTCTTAAACCACTACAGGAAAATCTCCGGCTTGTTTCCTGTAATAGAAACTCTGGTAGCTGTGGAGTTGCACTCAAAGAACAGAAGTTATTCTGGGATGTTTCTCAGAGAGTCAGGGCAACATCTGGCTTCCTTGATATACCAGAGAAGAAGGTGCTGTGTTGCTCTTTGATAGCCCAACATTGCTGACTCACGCCTGGAACCTGGTAGGCCTCTGTGGAAATCCCCCCCCCCCAGCCCATGGGGTCAGTCTGCACACCTCAAAGCTTCTGGCTTAAATAGTGTGGAGGAAGGAAGGAAAGTGACGGGGGTGAACTCATAGCCAAGCGACATACAGTCCTGGAGAGGGAATCATCTTCACAGCTGCCTGGAGAAAAACACCGTACTATCAGATCTCCCACCTGCTTCCCTGTGGACATTTGTTGAGAGACTACCAGAGCGAAATAACCGTTCACCAGCAGTGTTTTGCGGGAAGAAGAAGAGATGATGGCAAGTCGACTCCGCAGCCCCCTGAAGGAACCAGAGATCGAGCTCTTTGTCAAGGTAAGGGTTGGGCTAATATACTGGTGTTGTCAGGGTGAAGCTTTGGGGCAGAAGCCGGTCAGCAAAATATGTTTAGTAATGGGACCTGCAACAAAAGCCCTGGGGTATTTTTGCATCAACCTCAGATCAGCTGCTGCTTTCCCCTCTTCCCAGAATGAATAGGAAGGTCCCCAAATGCAGTTGGGCTGGCTCAGTTAAGCAAAGTAATCCTGTAAGATTTATAGGAGTCATTCAACTAAAATTTACTCGCAGAAGACCTGTTTGTTTTTTTGTTAAAGATTTTCTTGATTTACAAAAGTGTTTGCAATGTCTCTCTCTTGTATTCCCCCCCCCCCCGTAACATTTTTACAAATCAGTTTCATTTGTTGAGACATTAGGAAGAAAAGGGGAAGGAGGTGGATGGGGGAAAGATGGATGGGGGTGGGGTCTTGTGGCGATGTTTCTATTTTACTTACTAAATGTAGGGTTTGGTGTCAGCGTTGCTTGTGCAGGTTCTTTGCTGTTCGCTTGTGTTCCTTTGGTGGTGAGAGAGGTTGGGGTTGGCCTAGGGTGTGGTTATTCATTTGTGGTTGGCTGTGGTGGTCTTTGTTTTCATGTGTGAGTGGGGTGGGTGGGTGTTTTGGATCAGGTTAGCCATATTGATTTGTATGCTGTTGGTGGATTTTTGTCATTGTTTTGTTGGGCTGTGTACGTGATAAAGGGGAGCCATACCGGGGTGAAGGTGTCTTTTTCTATTTGTCCCCATGTCAGTTTCAGTTTATTGGTTAATTTTTCTAGTAAGGCTCTTTCCCATAGTATTTAGTACCATTGGTCCATACTTATTCCTGACAGGTCTCTCCAGTGTCTGATTATGATACTTCTGGCTGCTGAAAGTAGGTGGGTTATGAGTTCTTTGTGGTGTAAATGGGCATTGTTGTCTTGGAAGATGTTTAGTAGGGCCATTTCTGGGGTGATTTCTAATACTTGCTTGGTTATTTTACTTATTTCTCGTATAGTTGTTGTCCAGAATAGTTGGCTTTTGGGGCACTCCCACCACATGTGGAGGTATGTGCCTTGCAGAAGACCTGTTGAAATTAATGGAGCAAATTTAGGCTCCATCTGTACTATCCATTTAAAGCGGTTTCAACTTTCACAGCTTCTCCCAAAGAATCCTGGGAACTGTGGTTTGTTAAGGGTGCTAAGAGTGTTCGGAGACCTTTATCCCCATCATGGGGCTACAATTCCTTGAGTGGCTTAGCACTCATCCCTCTTCCAGGGAACTCTGAAAACTGTAGATCTGTGTGGGGAACGGTGGATCCCTTAACAACTCTCAGCATCTTAGTTGAGTACCACCCACTTAGTCCAGAGTTTAAGATTAGCTTAACTGTGCCACTGCATTAATGTGCTATGTTCCTATGTGTTTGTGCACTTCTTTGTGCTTATAAATAGCCTGTCTGACACACCGAAGTTTTGGTTGCAAAAGTTTGGACTTGCTTGGATTTCACAACACTGAAGATTTAGTGTACTGATGTGTACACAGTGTGCCTACAGGAGCCAGGGACTAAGTATATGCCATACATTTAAAGCCGTTTTGCCTCCTAAAGAATCCTGGGAACTGTAGTTTGTTCAGGGTGCTGGGTTGTAGCTCTGTAAGGGATAAACTACAGTTCCCATGCTTCTTTGGTGTCTGTGCTTTAAATGTATGTTGCATGTGCAACAAGACTCTGCCTCCAACACAGATTCATGCCACAGATTCCATATTGTTTGCTTGGCTTTCGGTGTTTTCAGAAGCTTTGTTAGTTTGGGGACAAGTGCGGGGAGAGGCAGTGCTCCTCTCAGGAAGTTGTTGTGCCTGGCGTTCACCCTTAACTTATCAGCCCTGTCACAGAGATCTGTCCCATAGTAAATGTGAATGTTTTTACAGGATACAGATAAGAACTGTGCAGCGCCCAAAAAATGGCTGCAGTATTTATTTCGTTGTTGTTGTTGTTATTCTTTTAAGGCTATATCTTTCAGCCTCTCTTGCTAAGGCTTTGTGCAAACTGTACCTTTAAAGCACATTCGAAGCCCATTTCTCCCCTCACATACTTCTGGGCACTGTGGTTTGTGAAGGGTTGCTGAGAATTATAACTGAAAGATTGATAGAAGAGTTCCGTGTGAAAAACAGAATAGAGTGGTTTTTCCTCAGGGTGTGAGGCTGAGAAAGATGGGAGCTGTCCCAGGTGGAAGCTGGGAAGACATGGATCTCTGTGAATTGAAGTCTAAGACAGAAGGTTGATAGAATATAAAAAAAATTCGTTTATATGTTGTGTGTTGCTTTTTTCTTTTTCTTCTCTCTTTCCTTTTCCTTTTTATTCTTTTGCTCTCTTTAGATATTACCTTTGTTTGGTTTTTATTTTATTATATGTGGAAAACCTTTTAATAACATTGTTTGTTTAAAAAAGAAAAAAGAATTGTAACTCTGTGAGGGGTGAACTACAGTGCCCAGAATTCCTTGGGGGAAAGAATGTGCTTTGAATACACTCCAAAGTTATAGTGTGCACACAGCTTGAGTCTTTAAGGTGTATACAAGATACATTAAAGCACATTTAAAGCACACATCCCCACAAAGACCTCTGGTCACTGTTAGGGGTTTCTAAGAATTGTAATTCTGTGAGGGGTGAACTACAGAGCCAAGAGTCTGAAACAAGAATGTGTTTCAAATTGAAATTGACATGTTTTGCTGAAACTAAGTAGGTCTTGGTATAGTCAATGCTTACAGAGGAGACTGTCTGGGAGCAAAAAGTGTGCCATGTTGAGTTCCACGAAAGAAGGAAGATGGGATATTGAATAGGTAAACTCAGATTTTCAGCGTAGGGCTGCTCCTTATGCAGGGTCCGTGATCCGTCAAGCTCAGTATACAAGGGGTGTGCAATTTCTTTGCCCCTGAGGGCCAGCTGCAGGCAACAGTGGTTGCTGGAGGGCAACCCATCAGTAAATTGATACAGTATTACTGGTCTACCTTGCAGGAGCATCGTAAAGATTGCTGACATCACCTTTCTGAAGAACTCATTTATCTTAACAAATCATAATTAAGGTATCAGATCCATGATCCATTCTCTTAACAATGCCCTTGGTTGGTGGATATCTGGGTTCTAGTAGAAAAACAAAGTACACCCCACAATACTAAAACCAGTCTAGGCCTGACATAAGCGGTGTTCAAACATCATATTTAATAAGTGTACATTTTGTGCACCTGTGAACACAGTGCTTGAGCTGTGCGCTCCTGTACATGTAACATCCAAATAGGTAAAGCTAAAGGGACCCCTGACCATTAGGTCCAGTCGTGGCCGACTCTGGGGTTGCGGCGCTCATCTCGCTTTATTGGCCGAGGGAGCCGGCGTACAGCTAGCATGACTAAGCCGCTTGTGGCGAACCAGAGCAGCACACGGAAACGCCGTTTACCTTCCCGCCAGAGCGGTACCTATTTATCTACTTGCACTTTGACGTCTACTTGCACTTTGATCTACTTGCACTTTGAACTGCTAGGTGGGCAGGAGCTGGGACCGAGCAACGGGAGCTCACCCCATCGTGGGGATTCGAACTGCTGACCTTCTGATCGGCAAGCCCTAGGCTCTGTGGTTTAACCCACAGCACCACCCGTGTCCCCAACATCCAAATACTTTCACACAAACACTTGTCCACATGTAGGGACAACTTGTCCCTCTGTTCAGTGTAACGTGTGAATGAGCCTATATTGGGAAAGTGGGAAGTTGCCAGGTGACTGTTTCTTTTCTTTTTCCTCATTTTCTGAAAATAAGTTTCTATACCTTAGTGTTGTACAGGAGAGTGGTTTCAAACTAAAGCAGGCTAACATGATTGTGCGAAGTTATTTCCACATCAAATCTCAAGAGTTCAAAGAGGGTGTTGTTGTGGGGAAAACACAGATTTGATCTCTGGAAAAGATGAATAGGCTCCTTAGCTTCACTAATGAAAAGAAACAGAAATAAAAGGATGGGGATTATTGTTATGGAAAACTTTAGTGTATTATTTCCTCCACACCTTCCCTCTTGAGATTTTCCCTGTCCAGTGTGCAGACTCCCTTCCTGTTGGACCACAATACCAAAACACTGTCATTCTCCTTCCAGGTTTCCCAACCAAGAGTTCTGTGTATTTTCCTTTATCTCACTTCCCGAGGCCCTGAAAGCCACAGGCCAAGAAGATAATGTTTTGCCACAATAGACTGGCAAAGAACACCAAGGGCTTTCAGTATTGCTTTCACCCCTGATACAGCTCCCACCTAAGGAAACGGAAGCAATGTACGGTTTCATTTGAAAGCAAGAGAAAGAAAATAAATAATGCCAGCTTCCAGCTAAGCGGCACCTCCCAGGGTTTGAGATGGGGTGGGCTTAGCCTGGTGATCTATTCATGAGAGCTACTCAGTGGTAACTGCTGTCTGTTGTGCCTGGGGTGGGGGGCAAGGGGCATTGCAGCTGGTGGCAGGATAAGGGCAGATCCACACCGTGCATTTAAAACACATCCAACACACGTCCAAAGCGCATGGCTTACCTCAAAGAATCCCAGAAACTGTTAAGGGCACTCTCCCCCACAGAGCTGCAATTCCCAGCACCCTTAACAAACAACAGTTCCCAGGATGCTTTGGGAGAAGTCACATGTTTTAAATGTATGGTGTGGAGGCCTGCTTGACTCAGGAATAACAACAAGCAAAGCTAAGGGCATAATTTGCTGCTGCAACAAAACAGTTCCCAAAACCCATTTCGAAGTGGTATGAGATTTGGAGACTTGTAACTTGCTCAAGAATCGGAGTCTAAACTACAGTTCTGTGCAAGTTTGAATTGGAGTAAGTGGAACTTTCATCTGAGTAGCTGCGTAGGAATGAGTACCATGTCCCAGCAATGACTCCGTTTCTCAGATGGCTGGAAAAAGAGAGCTAGACTGCTACACTTTAGTTGTGCAGAGGAGTGGGTTTCAGTAGCTGCAGCTTGCATAAAAAGCTACAGCTTGCAAGAGTTCATTCTTCCATACATCCATTAAAATTGCAGGAGCCACCTGTCCTATTCGCATCTGGAACCCGTCTTTCTCTCCCTCACACACTCAATTCCTGTCTTCATCTGTTCCCTCGCTCCAACATAGTAATATTTGGATCATTTGGGACCATTTGGATCCCTTCCAGTCGGGATTCAGGCCTCATCATGGGACTGAAACTGCCTTGGTCGCACTGGTTGATGATCTCCGGCGGGCTAGGGACAAAGGTGAGAGCTGTTTCCTAGTTCTGCTGGATCTCTCAGCGGCGTTTGATACCATCAACCATAACATCCTTCTGGACCGTCTTGAGGGGCTGGGAGCTGGGGGCACTGTTATACGGTGGTTCCACTCCTTTCTCCTGGGCCGTGTCCAGAAAGTGGTGGGGGGGGATGAGTGTTCAGACCCCTGGGCCCTCACTTGTGGGGTGCCTCAGGGTTCTGTCCTCTCCCCCATGCTTTTCAACATTTACATGCAGCCTCTGGGAGAGATCATCAGGAGGTTTGGGCTGGGTGTTCATCAGTATGCGGATGATACCCAGCTCTACCTCTCTTTTAAATCAGAACCAGTGAAGGCGGTGAAGGTCCTGTGTGAGTGTCTGGAGGCGGTTGGAGGATGGATGGCGGCTAACAGATTGAGGTTGAATCCTGACAAGACAGAAGTACTGTTTTTGGGGGACAGGAGGCGGGCAGGTGTGGAGGATTCCCTGGTCCTGAATGGGGTAACTGTGCCCCTGAAGGACCAGGTGCGCAGCCTGGGAGTCATTTTGGACTCACAGCTGTCCATGGAGGCACAGGTCAATTCTGTATCCAGGGCAGCTGTTTACCAGCTCCATCTGGTATGTAGGCTGAGACCCTTTCTGCCTGCAGACTGTCTCGCCAGAGTGGTGCATGCTCTGGTTATCTCCCGCTTGGACTACTGCAATGCGCTCTACGTGGGGCTACCTTTGAAGGTGACCCGGAAACTAAAGACTCAAGTAATCCAGAATGCGGCAGCTAGACTGGTGACTGGGAGCGGCCGCCGAGACCATATAACACCGGTCTTGAAAGACCTACATTGGCTCCCAGTACGTTTCCGAGCACAATTCAAAGTGTTGGTGCTGACCTTTAAAGCCCTAAACGGCCTCGGTCCAGTATATCTGAAGGAGCGTCTCCTCCCCCATCGTTCTGCCCGGACCCTGAGGTCCAGTTCCGAGGGCCTTCTGGCGGTTCCCTCACTGCCAGAGGCCAAGTTACAGGGAACCAGGCAGAGGGCCTTCTCGGTAGTGGCGCCCGCCCTGTGGAACGCCCTCCCATCAGATGTCAAAGCGATAAACAACTATCTGACATTCAGAAGACATCTGAAGGCAGCCCTGTTCAGGGAAGTTTTAATATGTGACATTTTAGTGTATTTTTCATCTTTGTTGGAAGCCGCCCAGAGTGGCTGGGGAAACCCAGCCAGATGGGCGGGGTACAAATAATAAATTATTATTATTATTATTATTATTATTATTATTATTATTATGCGTGCTTACATGGACGCGGGTGGTACTGTAGGTTAAACCATAGAGTCTAGGGATTGTCGATCGGAAGGTCGGTGGTTCGAATCCCCGCAACAGGGTGAGCTCCCGTTGCTCGGTCCCAGCTCCTGCCAACCTAGCAGTTCGAAAACACCTCAAAGTGCAAGTAGATAAATAGGTACCGCTCTGGCGGGAAGGTAAACGGCGTTTCTGTGCGCTGCTCTGGTTCGCCAGAAGGGGCTTAGTCATGCTGGCCACATGACCCAGAAGCTGTACGCCAGCTCCCTCGGCCAGTAAAGCAAGATGAGCGCAGCAACCCAGAGTCAGCCATTACTGGACCTAACGGTCAGGGGTCCCTTTACTTTTACCTTTACATGGAAATAAGACCCACAGAACTGGACTGACATCTGAGTAGATGCCCATACATGTACATATTATGTGAAAATTTAATTCTAGTTGAGGGTGCATTCATCTTGATTTGTTTGCAGGAGCATTAGATAGTGGTTGCATATACAACATACATACATGTAAAGTACTTTTAAAGCACATGACTCCCCCCCCCCCGAATCCTGGGAACTGTAGCTTACTCCTCACAGAACTATAGTTGACAGAACTCTTAGCAAACTATAGTTGCCAGGATTTTTTTGAGGAAGGTCAGGTGTTTTAAATGTACAGTGGTACCTCTGGTTATGTACTTAATTCATTCCGGAGGTCTTAACCTGAAACTGTTCTTAACCTGAAGCACCACTTTAGTTAATGGAGTCTCCCGCTGCTGCCGTGCCACCACCCCACAATTTCTGTTTCCATCCTGAAGCAAAGTTTTTAACCCGAGGTACTATTTCTGGGTTAGCGGAGTCTGTAACCTGAAGCGTCTGTAACCTGAAGCGTATGTAACCTGAGGTACCACTGTACTTTAAATGTATTTATTAAATTTCTATACTGCCCTTCATCTGAGGATCACTGGGCAGCTTACAATATAAAAACACTAAAATGCATACCATAATTACAAACAGGTTAAATGATGTTGCATCAAAACAAGTGTTATCCCACACTTTCCAGTGCATTTTCTCCATCACTTTCCTTATTGCAAAAAGTCCAATGTTGCGGGGAAGTGTGTTTGTTGCAGAAGATCTCTCCATCAGCTATAACTATGCAACCTGTATTTGCTGGTACTGTATGCGAATGAATCCCATCCAGAAATACTGACAATGAACCCTTAATCACTGCCTCAGGTTGCCATACTTAGAGTTTCCTCTGGAGCTAATGTAGTGGTAAAAAACTACTGACATTTAAATCTCACCTCTCCTGTGGCCAGCACCTCTATCATCCCTTTCTCCAAAATACTGGGATACCGACACTGACCTCCTTTGTGGCATTACTATGATGGATGTAAAGTGAGAGGAGGTGAACTCTCCATCTCTGCGGCTATTTAAGCAAAGGGAAAACAGTCACCTTCCAAGGATGCTGTAGTTGTATCTTGTACTTCAAGTCCTGCATTAAATGGGGTGTGTAGATTTGATTACCTCTAAGCAGTGCTATTTTTCTGGGAAAAGATGTGCCAGAACTCACCATAAACGCCTCCCTTGTTCTCTTATAATGGCAATGGTGCCCACTTAAGAGGTGCCGGAACTGAGTTCCAGCAAGTTCCAGCTGGGGGGGGGACCCTGCCTCTAAGGCCCCATTCAGCTCTAAAATTCTAAGTTCTGTGAACACCCAACACTAAATAAATAAAGCATTTTTTAACCACCATTTTCCACAAAGCAGCTGCCAGCATGATCTGAGATTTCTCTGTTGCATGTGCACCGTATAACACAGAAAATTAGCTGTTTAGAACTGCCGGAATCTTTCCTTGTCGTGTGTGTGTGTGTGTGTGTGTGTGTGTGTGTGTGTGTGTGTGTTGTGAAGCTCCTCTCATAGAGGGATGGCCATTGAGTGCTTCCCATTCTGCCTCTAACTGCAGGCTGGCTTAGATGGAGAGAACATTGGGAACTGCCCCTTCTGCCAAAGCCTCTTCATGGTCTTGTGGCTCAAAGGCGTCCGGTTCAACGTGACAACAGTTGATATGACCAGGTAAGAGGATGGAGGTGGATCTCTGCATCCTTCATGCTTCACAAAAGATTAGAGAAATTCCAAGACCTGCAGTTTGGCAGCATCTTTATTAGGAACATTATATATATATATATATATATATATATATATATATATATATATATATATACACACACACACACACACACACACACACACACACATATATATCACATAATAGTGAACAAGCTTCTGAGTTCTCGAGAATTGTTAATCAGGCAGAACTGGTTAAACAAAGCAGAGAGGTGGGTGGCTGGGGGAAGAAAGGAAAAAACAAGATTTTTGTATTGTAGCCATAAGGTCTGCATCTTTCTAGATGAAACTTCTTTTAAAGTCTGTGCATCTATCTACACACACACACACACACACACACACACACACACACCCCACACACACACTGTCTGTCATAGAGGCAAACATCTATTCCAGTCAGGCAAAAACACTCAAGGATGATGCAAAGCTGTTTTGGTGGGGGTGTCAACCTGGGAAGTGGGTGTGGCCTGGGGATAATCCCAAAGGCCAGATAGAGTGGCCTGGAGGGGTGCATTTGGCCCTCAGGCCTGAGGTTCCCTGCAATACACAGTTAACTTTTGGGATGCAGGGCCATTGTTGCAGTGATAGCCACGTGGAGATAGATGCACAGTCTTTAAAAGAAACTTAGAGGAGTGGCTGCTAGCCATGATATCTAAATGGAGCCTCCATTTAGGCTCCGATATAGGCAGAATACCTCCAATATAGGCAGAAGGAGACTCTTTTCCTTTTCCTTTCCTTCTTCTGTTGACCCCCATTGTTTAGGAAACCTGAAGAGCTAAAGGACCTGGCCCCTGGGACCAAGCCTCCGTTCATGGTGTTCAACAAGGAGCTGAAAACAGACTTCCTGAAGATTGAAGACTTTCTGGAGCAGACTCTTGCACCACCCAAGTATCTAACATCTTAGGCTTCTTTCATTTCCTCCTAGCTACATATCCCTCTGAAAATGTTAGCCCCTTTGCCCTGATTTCAGATGTTATTTCGGTTGTGCAGAAAAAGCACTTGATGCATGTACAGAGGCACTCTCTACTTCATGTGCAATGCCAGGTGCTGAGGCAGAATCCTGTTGCATTTTCCATGCACAATGTAGAGAAACTGCCTTCCTCTAATCGATCACTTGTAAAAGCTGCATCCTGTCAATTAAAACTAAGCAGGGGAATTCAAGCTGTGGTCTTATCTATTGGGTTATTTTATCTGTTTGACTGTCCCTTTCACTCTGACCGAATGTGCAATGCTCCCTAAATGTGCCAGGAGGATAGGTTTTTCAACCACCACCTTTGGCAGGGCTTCAAGTGTCTTTAACAGCTGTGAAGCACATAGAAAGGCATTGAATGAAGTATTCCCTATCATGGTGCTGTCGCTGAGGGAGAAAGCTGCATCTGTTGAGGTTTTACCTGTGCTGCCATGGTTAAAGGGACGGGAGCCTTGTTACCTGCAGATGAGGGGCTGTGGGATGCTGGCAGTGAGGAACAGATAAAGAAAGGCTGGTCGCAGCTGCACCATGCATTTAAAACACTATTCTCCCACTTTAATAGTTGTGGGGAATACTGGGAACTGTACTGTGTTAAGGGTGCTGTTAATAAGCTACAGTTTGCATGGATGGTAAAGTGGTTTAACAGTGCTTTCAGTGTATGGTGTGGATGTGACTAGAATCAGGAACTTGCATCAGTCAGACCTTGGAAATAAACACGGCTTGTGCTGCATGCTCTACCCTTTTTATAAACAGTAGAGGTATAAATAGATTTATTTATAACACACCATATAAAAGCACTCCTTAGTCCAAAGAATATCTCAACATTCTATTGTTGGGGAAAGGAGAATAAGGCACTCTTATATCAGTCTCCTCCCATGTACCGTAGGAAGCCCATGGCAGCCCTTACAGCGTCTATTTTCTTTAGGCCACTGGGAAATGGTTGTGCCATCGTAATCATTTGTGTTTCGAGAAAGATGTAAGGGTGCAGAAGCAAACACATAGGCAGGCCTTGATAGCCCAACACGTAATGTCAGTCTACTTGGAATTTTTTTATTTGGGAAATCCAGCTCCCCAGGTGAAACCAAAAACTCATTTCTGAGTGCTTCCAAACACCCTGTTTATGGAGCATTCACCCCAATATGTATGCACGGAGATTAGCCAATGTTGGCAACGTAATGAGCATCCATCTTGCTTTGTTTGTAGGGAGGTCAGATGACGTTGCAGCAGAGTAAGTGTTGTCCTATACTTTCCAGTGCATTTCCCCATTCCTTTCCTTACTGCAGAAAGTCTGATCTTTCAGAGAACTAGTTTTTGTGTGTGAAAGGTCTCCCAGTTACACAGCTTGTTTTTGCTGGTGTGTGGTTGAATCCCACCAAAAATTAGCAATGGTCTGGAAGTGCCCCCGCCCTTTTCCTGTTGTTTTTCTTTCTGTCCTCACCAGAGAAAACTAGTTTTTGCCTCCACCGTGGCAGGGATGTGTGACTCAAGGCAGGGCCTGCCCTACCACAAGGCACACTGAGGCTACTGCCTCAAGGACCAGACACTGATGAGCAGTGGCAGCTGCTCTCTGGTTGTTCCCTCCAAATCCACTGGCCATTCTCGTCTGATGAGGGGGCATGCTTCTTGGCCTGTAATGCCCCCACCACTACCAAGCTGATTTGATGCCTTCAGGTGGCTGAGAAGATTCTGGCCTGTCATCAGGACTGAAATAATAAGAATCAATTGCCAATCTAGTTGGATTCTCTACAAGGCATGCAGAGGGGGCAGCATTTTGTCCTTTGCCTTTGGACTAGTGAGTCCCACCATCCTTGATTCTTGATCATGCTGGCTAGAGCTGATGGGAGTTGGAGTGCACAGGTTTCCCATCCCCAAAATTCCCGACCCCTGTACAGAAGGCAACAGCAACAGAGTCCAGAGCGCCACAGTTTTAGCTCTGCTAGGATGCTCACCAACGTGATAGCTGTGTCTTTCGGAATGTGAAATGAACATATGCAGCTAAGCAACGACCTCTTCCAGGGGGTGGAGTGACCGTGATTTTGGCCTCCCGTTGAGAGACAGGGACTGCTTGTAAAACCCATCTGTTTCCCCACCAGGATCGGGGAGGAAGTGTATTGGCTGGAGAGATTAAAAAACAATAAAGGGAAGTTCTCTATCACTGCAGGGAAGAGAGGGGGGGTGTTGAGGAGGAGAGAGAAGGACACAGAGAGCCCCAAAGAAAGTGGAAGAGGCACAAGGAAGGTTGCAGATGGGAAGACTACATGCATGCCCCAGTGTTCAGTTGTAGGGATGCAATGTCAGGGATGTTCAAGAATTTATTTCCACCCCCACTCCCTTATGGGGTCTCTTTGCTCATTAAAGGACTGTGCATCCATAGCCAAGCCAAGGGAAACAAGAGAGCTAAGGATAGGAGCATAGCCAAGATGCGGTCATAGTTGGCACATGCTCTCTCAATTCTCTGGCCACAGCTGCAGTAAACAGGAGGCACTTTAAAGGACTAATGCTCTGCAAAGGGTCTCCCTTGCAATCAGTCGCAAGCGCAAGAGAAACGCAGATGCTTTGCTGGCCGGGGCTGATGGGAGCCGGAGTCCAATGACACCCAGGGGGCCACAAGTACTGTATCCCAGCTCTAACCACTAGGCTGCAATGGTTCTTAACTTCTTGGGGAAAAAGAAAGTGTATGCCATTCTGAATCTAGTCTTTCAGGTGTCACACGAGAGTATAGATTACGCCCAGAGAACTATGCTGTTTTCATGTTCCACATCCCTTTGTTGTAAAAAAAAGAAAAAAGCCCAAAAGACACTTTGGTGTCAAAATTTCAGCTTAAGACACTAAGGCATGCATGTTTAAACCACGTGATACTCCCTAAAGGATCCTAGGCACTGTTGTTTATTAAGGGTGCTGGGAATTATAACTCAGTGAGGGACAAACTGCCGTTTCCAGGATTCTTTGGGGGAAACAATGTGCTTTAAATACTATATGGCGTGTCCACAGCCTAAAAGGTCAGTGCCAAGGCGTCGAAGGAAATGCAAAGTATTACAGCAGTGCCCTCTGCTGGTTGTAAGTTGCATTGCTGGTACCTACAAGCTTTTCTCTTCCCACAAACCAGCACCAGAAAGGCTTTAACAGCTGTGCAGAGGCTGAACGCTCAGCAAATTGCCAGCCCTGGCCGATCACATTTTGTTGCCTACTAGCAAAGCTTATTTTTAAAAGGTCAGCATCATTGGGCTCCCAGTAGTGGTCCCCCACTGCCAACCCCTAGAGTCCTCTGACCCTGGTGTTCCTCCTCCTTGATTTTGCTGCCTGCTTGCCTGTCTTCTCTAAAGCAGCAAGCAGGAGGGCTGAGCAAAGAGGAGGAGGAGCTGCAGCAGCATCCTTTTCAGTGGTGATGCAAATTGGGCCCAAGGGGTCCCTTGCGGGTTTCCCTATGACCACTGCAAAAACAGGATGCAGGACTAAATGGGCCACTGGCCAGCCTGGTGCAGCAGCAGGGCTTTTTCTTATGTCATTTTGACAACACAAGCCAGCACACAGTGGCAAAAGCAACGAGGAGGTGGATGCCCAGACAGTGGTGGCTGAAGGCATCTTGTCCAGGACTTACTCTCCCTGCAAAACTGAAGACAACACTTCCACTTAGATACAGGATTTCTCTGTACCATCTCAACAGTTGACATGATGCTTCAGGGTTTAGCTTGCCTCTTAGAGTCTTCAGAATGAGGTGTAAAATCTTAGTGGGGAGAAGCCAGAATCAGGGAGGCGGGTTGTTTTCTGCTTAGCTTGAGAGATAACACTGTTTACTCAGCTACCAGGTATTTCCTATAACCTGCCAGGTTCCACCTCCTGTTTCTGCTGGGTACCACTAGCCTCCACCCCTACCCTACCAGACTCTGCGCCTTTTTACCCTACTGAGGTGTTAGAGACCTTGTGTTGTGCTCAGTTGTATGCCATGTCTCTAGAATACCTTGTTATGGTGTCCAGAATTGTGTCTCTTGTTCTTTCAAGCTCTTATGAGGTGGGGTTCGAGACAATAAGATAAGCAAGTGGCTAGTTCAATGGAAGCATGAGAGTTCTGAGTTATTTTCCTGCACATCTAAATTAACTCTGTACTTCTAATTAAGATACCCCCGGCTCACCCCACAAAACCAGGATTCTATGGCTGTTGGCAGGAACATTTTTGCCAAGTTCTCTGCGTACATCAAGAACCCCCACAAGGAAGCAAACAAAAGTAAGCTTATTAAATTTATTTCCTTTGGGAAATATCTAGAATGAAATAAGCAAGGATAATACATAGGAGTGATACTAATTGTATTATCATATTCATAAAAGGGGACTCGATAATCTGGGAGTCATGGCATTTGTTTTAGGGGGGCAGGCTTCATGTTAGGGGGGACAGAATCAAGTTATCTGTGATGCAATTGGTCAGTTAGTTAAGTATTTAAATTTATTTAATTGATTCGTACTTCCCAAAACAATACACGAACTAAAATACCGCTGTTCTTTGCCATGTGCACTTATCCAAATTTTCCAACCAAACAATGTTTACAAAAATGCACATATTAGGGCATAAAAACAAATATATTAGTGAGAATCATATTCAAAAATGCATTACAGAAGTTTGTACGTGAGTGAACACTGTAGGCAAAAAATGTGTTTACAAGAATAAATTTGCAGTAAAATCCAGATTACTAATTTCCTTGGAGGTTTTTCAATTGGTTTTAATCACGAAATTGCCTGCACCACCTGCCCTGCCACCTCCATTGATAGCAGAGAAGTGGCACTTGCATCAGCACTGATTTGGGGTGAGATCTTGGGTCGATTTCAAGTGAGATCTCCCATGTTCCTTGAGATCTTGTCAGATTTCGGCAATATCTTGCCTGAAATTGGCAAGTTGTCAGCCAAAATCAGTGCTGATGCAGGCACCACTTCTCTGCCACTGACGGAAGCAATGAAAGGGCTGCCACCTGGGGGGCTTCCACCACCTGCGGTGGGAGCCTCACCCCATCTAATGGCTGGACCAGCCCTGATGGTTAAGCAAAACTGGAAGCAACAAGCACCTCCATTCTCCTCCTGGCTGTGCCAGGGGTGGACAGAAGGAAAGGTGTTTGTGCAAGCCCAAGGCTTTCCTAGACTTGTTCATGCTGAGCTATGGTATAGCTCGGCAGCCAAATGTAGCCATTATCTTGCCCATATGCAAAGCCCTTAAAATATAACAGGGTTGACATATTTCAAGGCAGTCCATAAATCAATAGATAAAATTGGTTAGAAAGCAAAAGCGAAATGATGGACTAAAACTGTTTAAATTGGACAAACACTTAAATCCGTGGCTGGTTCTTATGATTCAGATATGGAAAAGGCTTTGTTGAGAGAATTCAAGCGCCTGGATGATTATTTAAGCACCCCACTCCCAGAGGAAATTGACCAAGATTGTGCAGAAGATGTGCTGGTCTCCAAGAGAAAGTTCCTAGATGGGAATTGGATGACATTAGCTGATTGCAACCTGCTCCCCAAACTCCACATAATCAAGGTGAGTACATTTCCCAGTATACTAAGCTGATGACGTCTGTTCCAGAGATCAAGGCTCAGTTCTCCAAGCGGCTGCTTATGGGTAGGGATGCAAGAAGGCATTTCCCATTCTGCCCCATGTTTATTATTATTGTATTTTATTTTAGTTATTAAATTTATATACCACCTTTTCCTCCAAGGAGCTCAGGGTGGTGCACTTGGTTCACTAATCTGCATTGCATCCTCACAACAACTCCACGAGGTTGGTGGGGCTGGGAGACGGTGGCTGGCCCAAGGTCACCCAGTGAGCTTCACAGCTAAGTGGGGATTCAAACCCTGGTCTCCCAGGTCAGAGTTCAACACTCTTATACACCACATCTGTCACATACAGCACTGTTTCTGTTCCACTGCAGCTTGTCTTCCACCCAAGATGTTGCTTGATTGCAGCCTTGACTTGAGATGGGCTAAATATTTGTCACTAGACCACATGATCAGAGTTTCCCAAATTCTGCCATATAACAAACAAGGGCTGGGAAGGACCTTAGCTCATTGGCAGAGCATCTGCTTTCCATGCAGAATGTCCCAGGTTCAGTCCCCAACATCTCCAGGAAGGACTAGGAATGTCCTCCCTCTGAATCCCTGGAGTGCCACTGCCAGTTAGTGCAGGCAGTATTGAACTAGATAAACCAATGGTCTGACACAGTTTAAAGCAGCTTCCTGTGTTCCTCTATGTAAGCTAAAGCACAGAGAGACTGTTGTCAACTTCTGTCAAGGTCACGCTCTCTACCTTAACTACATCTGGCATCGACATGCAGCTGCCTGGGTCCACACACTCCAGCAGGGCCCACCAGTGCTGATGGCTGCCCCAAGCCCCTCTCTGCAGTGGGTTCTGGGAGACTGCCATTTAAAATTTCCCATGATGCCTTGGAGTGCCCAATGTTATGCACTCTGGGCCACTGTAGGCAATTAAAATGGCTGCCTTTTGGAACCAAGCAGGGGCAGACAGCTGCTCATTTCCCACTGGAATTCTACCACCAAGGAAGCTTGCTAAGGTGGGGTGCTGGATAATCCTGCCCAGGGATCATGCCAAACCTGGCACCAGCTTTAATCACTGATTAATTGCCCCAACTTTTCTCTCTCCTGAGCAACACTTTGTGCTTAAGAGTAAATCAGTCTCCAATTATTATTATTTCTCTACATCCATCCCTTCCTCTCAGATCGCTGCAAAAAAGTACTGCAACTTTGAGATCCCCTTGGAGATGACAGCAGTTTGGCGCTATCTTCACAATGCCTATGCCCGCGATGAGTTCAGTCACACCTGCCCAGCTGATGAGGAGATCGAACGCACCTATGCCACTGTGGCCAAGAAGATGAGCTAAGAGCCATATTCCATTCGTGTTGGCTCCTGGCATTTCCAACTCTCCTTCTCGAGAGGCTCTCGTCAGCGAGTTCTTTTCATCATGCTGGCTTCAAGAGACACCTCTCACATTTGTTCTGGACACTCCACCACACTAGACCTAAAGGAGTTCTTCAAACTTTTTTAGGGAAAAAGAAGTCTCTTCATTCTGTCTGTTCTGTCACATCTGAGTGCCTTCTTCCCATGATGAGTTGCCCAGAAGTGCTATACATTCCACTTTGTGGTGGCAGAAGTAGCTAGCAACCCATGACCTGTGGACATGGTTGGTATGTGGCAGTGGGGGGCTGGTGGCCGTTGAGACTAGTATGGCGGGTAGCTGGGAGGTCAACAGTAGGTGGAGCCAGAGCTGATGGGTGGGGGCTGGGAAACATACACCTGTAGAATGCCTGCTTGGGGCTGGTGAAGGCAATCATCACTAAATGCTGCCATTTTCTATCCACAACACTCTAGGTTCCCCTTTGGCTCCATCTCAGCTGACAAGATTGTGCCCTATCTGTGCTGGTTGCCCACCCCAGTTAATAGCTAATGATACTGTATGAGGGTAGTAGCAATGTTTGCAATGTAATCAAATATACAGGTATGTACCATGCACTGGGGAAAACAATTAACTCTGGCCCTCCTGTGGCACATTGGATCAGTGCGCCTGGCTGTTAACCAGAAGGTTGATGGTTTGAGGCCACCCAGGGACAGCTGTGGGCAGGATCCCTACTTTGCCGGGGTTTGAAATACATGACCCTCAGGATCCTTCCAACTCTACAGTTCTATGATTCTAAAGGATAAATTTCAGAGGAATAGCTGTGCTAAGTTTGTTGTAGCAAAACAAAAAACAAACACACGCAGATGTCCTTAGGCTCATTAAAGATTTAAGGCATGTATTGTTGCCTAATAAATGCACCTTGGCCAGAGCCTACTTCATCACACATAGGAACATAGGAGGCTGCTTATTCTGAAAGTTGGGCCATTGATCCATCTTGCTCAGCATTGTCTGGGAGTGGGTCTTAGGTTTCAGGCAGGAGACGCTCCTAACCCTATCTCTTCCCATGAATGACTCTGGGCAAGCCTTTTGAAAGTATTGGTACTAATGCAAGTGGGAGGCAGGCTGCCATTTACTCTGCTTTGGCCAGGAAGCTAGAGTTGGGCTGCCCGTCAAAGGAGGCAATATTACGCTAAATAGGTAACTAGTCTGGTCTGGTCTGTGTCAGCTGACCATGGTCCCTTATGCCACAATAATGTGTATTAGTGTTTCAGGTGCCACAAAGGCACTTGCTTGTGTGCTTGTCTCTCAAGGAATCTCTTAGCCTTCTTCCATTGCACTAGAACAAGGAAACTTTCCACTTAAAAAAATAGATGTGCCAGTTTACTGTCTATTAAAAAAAAACATTTATTTTATATACAACTTTATAATAAACTTTATTTTATATACAACTTCCACAACTTGGCCTGGATATGTGTATGGAAAATCATTGCTGGAGACTGCTTGAGTATGATTGCTGCATGGAGGCAGGGCAGTCTTTAGCATATGCGGCGCCAGGGTGCAAAGATGCGCCCATCTTGCTGCTGCTGCTGCTGCCACCGCCTCCTGAGTAGTAATAAATGCTACTTTCACAGAGGGAAGACATGTGGCTGAGGAAGGGAGGTGCTGCCTTCACACAGGGGAAACTGGGGTGTGTGGCTGAGGGAGGGGGATCCTACATTCAGGCAGGGGAGACTGTTGTGGGGTGAGGGAGGTAGATGCTGCCTTCACACAGGTGAGCCTGGGGGCAAAGGGGAGGCCAACCTGCCGAGCGCCCAGGGCGGCGCTGCACTGCTCCTCCCAGCGCCGTTGCCATTGTCCCGCACGCTCTGCTTTCAGAGGCAGCAGGGGCTTCTCAGAGGGGGATCAGGGCCCGAGGAGTTCGCAGGATAGGTAGCGGCCTCGACCTTGGCCTCGGCAGGCTGCTCCAGTGGCCCAGGAAGTCAACCTAGGAGAAGAAAATGAGCCTTGCCTTGCTTTTGTCCCGCCCCCTGCCCACAGCTGATTGGCCAGCTGGGACCCCGGAGAGCTCCCACTGCTGCTGCCGCCACTAGCGCCCTTGACCAAGCTCATAGCGACGCTCTTCGGCAGGGAGGCATCTGGGTGGCTTCAGCGGCAAGCGCAGGTCGCCCACCTGGCACCCCCAGAATTCGGTGCCAGGGTGCCTTGCACCCCCAGGTAAAGACGGCCCTGGGTGGAGGACAGAATTAGGCAGGCCTTTTATTGGTTTGTATCCCTCCTAATTAGCAAAATGCCTAACTAATACCAACAGCAAATGAGATGGCAACACTGTGCCTGGACAATATGATGAAAGTTGGAGCTGCATGCTTTTATATTTTCTTATGAAACCTTTCCCCTCCTCATCCTTTTTAAAACATGAGTCTGGGGACAGGGACTACAGTGGTGCCTCGCAAGACGAAATTAATCGTTCCGCGAGTCTCTTCGTCTTGCAGTTTTTTCGTCTTGCAAAGCACGGCTATTAGAGGCTTAGCGGCTATTAACGGCTTAGCGGCTTTAAGAAAAAGGAAACAAACTCGCAAGAACTCGCAAGACGTTTTGTCTTGCGAAGCAAGCCCATAGGGAAATTCGTCTTGCGGAACGACTAAAAAGCGGAAAACCCTTTCATCTAGTGAGTTTTTCGTCTTGCGAGGCATTCGTCTTGCGGGGCACCACTGTATGTTTATGCTTGTCCTCAATGTGCTGCTTTCAGTCTTGATTCATTCTAGATCCTGTTGTCTACAAGGGTGTGTGTCGTTACTTGATACACATTTGAAAACCCTTCTCTTGATTAGGTTATTCTTCCCTGCACATGCCTCAGGTGAGAGGGGAGCCAACTTGAAGAAAATATTGGGGGTACCCAAGTAAGCTCAGCCCTGCATATTCAATTGCATGGCATGATACACAGACACTATTTGAATGGCAATGCCCATCAACGTTGGGAGTCCCAAACATTTTATTTGGGGGGCCTGAGGACCCCTTGGCCCCTATGAGTTGGCTCCTATGTCAAGGGAACTAAGAAGGAAGCGGTGGTGGCAGCTGTGTTGTACACCTACCCACAATGTAATTGGGCAGTTGTGGATATGCTCCCCATTGCTAGGACTGTTTTCAAAGGGGCACCATGATTGGTAATGTAGAATCAATGAGCGATGAACTTTCATTTTCAGAATGAAACCAGTTCCTTTCCAGGGGCAAAAAAATATGCCATAGAACTAGACTGTTGGTGTGTGGGCTACGTAGAAAAAACAAATCTGGAGTCTTCACTGATGCTGAAATAAAATGTCATGTGCATCCAGAGACTGACATTATTAAATTTTTTTTAAGGTTTGTATGTATGTGTGCATGCATAAGTAAGAGGTTTTTGTCTTACCCCTTTCCCTTCCCTACATAAAATTCTTTATATTTTGACATTCGGTTTATTGGCTGTTAAAGCACAGTTCTGTGGAAATTCCCACGACAGTCTTCTTCGTGTACTTAAGATGGCACAGTTGTTAGTAGGTTTTTTTCAGATTCTTTTTGGCATGTATGTGCAGCATGAAGAAAGTTTCACACAGTCAGTTCACTGCCTTGCAATTGTTTCTATGCAGAACAATTCATACTGGCATCCATGTGCCTGCCCCACTGTGATAAATATAGTGGTCCAAATAACGCTTAAGTTCAGCCTCCCCATTACGGCCCCTATAAATGACTGGTTTATTTGAGCATTCATCCTGATTTGCTTGTACACAGTTTGTGCAGAGGTTAGATTATAGCCAGTTCTTTATTGAGCATTGCACAACCAAAATTAGCTGAAGGCAAGACCATGGAAACAGGCAGCAATGCAAACAAAAAGACAATAATCCCAGTAATAAATACAGGAAGATTTTAATCCGTACAACAAGGAAAGACAACACAGGCTTGCTGTCATGGGGATCAATGAAGTAGGTCATATTAATGCAGAAGGATGCAGGATGGGGGAATATGTTGTCCAAAATCATTATTGTTTGGGGTCTTGCTTTGGATAATCACCCCAGTCTAAACAGTTGTGGGGGTGGGGAACAGGACATGAGATCTTCACTCCCTTACACAGCAGGGCCTATAGACTTGCATCATTACCCACAGTGGTCAAATGGGACAGACTATGACTTTACTTGCTCCCCAGGTGAGTAAGCATTCTATGACAGACGCCTTGCAGCACTCAGGGAACAAACCATCAGTTGCAATTAAGAATAGATGAATCTTATCAATTTCAGTTTCTCATTCACCCCCACCCCCCAAAATCTTCAGTTCAGTTCTCTGTATTTCCACATCAAGTTTGTATTATTGTTTTTTTAACATGAAAACCCACCAGCGTTTTAGTGAGGATTTATCCTAATATGCCCATTTGTGTATACACATTTTATATGAAGCAACTTCCCCCTTTATTATGCCTATTTGCATTTTATATATTTTCACTAATATATGCATTTCTATGCACATGCTGCCCTAAGGTATGCATTTATGTACCCTGGAGAACTGGACTGCAAAATTCAGAGAACCGTGGATTTTGAAGGTTGGTTGTGTTTCTATTCAGAGAAAGTGCATATTAGATAGGCTTGGCTTTTTAATTTGAATTGAATCTAACCGATACCCCAACCCTACCATTGCAATAAGAAGTTAGTGAGCAGGTTAGGGGAGGAAGAGGTGGTACAGAACTCCTTCTCTGTGTCAAGCATACAATTGGCCTGCCAGAGGAAAGAACACACATTTCCTTTACAGCCAGAATAGAAATGCCGTGGGTTGCTGAAAGACGGAGCTCTCTCTCTCTTTCTTCTCTGCCAGCCTCTAGCAGGGTAAAGAATACAGCTCTGCAGGCTAATAAATTTTGTGGGCTTATTTTCAAGGCAGTCTTAAAACAATTAGGTTGTATCCAACTAAGGTCTATTCAGAGTAGGTTCGTGGAAATGAATGAACCTAACATAGTCATGTCTAGTATCTTCAATGGAGCTTCCCTGATTAGAACTGGTACTGGATACACCCCATTGTTATTTTATGAAGGGGTGTCTGCTTGCATCCTAGCATTGCTAACATTGCAGAGGCCATTCATCCCGATGTCACTATCTTAATGGTATTAATAATTTACATGCATGTAATTTTATTAATTTAAAAAACTGCTGGTTTTATTCTGATAAATGTTATGCCTACTCCATTTTAAAGTTTGCTTTTTCTGATGAATATTCTACATTGTTTTTATGAAAACAGCCATTGGTTTGTGGATTAAGCAGCAAATAAATATATAATATAAATACATAAAAATAGGCATCTTGCAACTTGCTGTTCTTCCTCCGGTGCTTTTTTCTGAAGTCTGCTAACTGGAAGGGGTTTGCCTTTGTGGGAGCTTCACCCAACAGCCAACACAGGCTGTTGTGTTTTTACTTCAGGAATAAAGTTTATTCATGATGGAATCTGATTTTAAGCCAATCCAAGGCCCAGTTTAATTCACCTGCTGCCCAAGCAGGAGTGGGGAACCAGTGGCCTTCCAGTTGTTATTGGACTCCAACTCCCACCATCCTTCAACGTTGGCCACGTTGGCTGGTGCTGATTGGGAGTTGTAGTTCAGCACCATCTGGAGGGCAATGTGTTTTGGTGATTTAGGCTTTGAGCTTGGGAAGAACAGACGCTTCCACAACTGCCCCACCCAGTTTAACGAAGGTACAAGCTCTTTCCTTGAGCTGTCTCTCTTTTCCGCATCTGCTTATGCCATGAACAAAGCCAGCAATGGTTTCTGTTTCTCCACCATGGGGCTGTTGTGGTGATATGAAGGATTCTATCTGCAAGCAAAGCAAATTCTTCGGCATAACCAAATGGCATGGCATGATCAAGGTTAACTGATGCATTGAAGCGCAGCTGTAAGCAAGGAGCCCACATTCTGGACAGACTGGGTTTGAAGGCAGTCTCTGGGAGGCATTTGGGGAGATGGGCACACATGCGCAGAGAAGATCAGTCGGATCCTGGCCTTCAGTTGGTAACGCAGTACTTCCAGAAACAAGCTGGCAAAGAAAAGTGAAAGGGGGGGCAGGAAGGAAGAAGTCACCACAATTAATGGCAAGAAACACTGCTCTTATTTTGGGATGCACTAACTTGTCTATAAACCGCAAATTGACCTAAAGAAGTGGGTATGTGTGGCTAAGCCTGTGGTTAAAATTGAACAGCACAGGTCAAATACATAGCACCAGCAAAAGGTAAAGGTAAAGGACCCCCTGACGGTTAAGTCCAGTGCGAACGACTCTGGGGTTGTGGCGCTCATCTTGCTTTATTGGCCGAGGGAGCCGGCGTACAGCTTCCGGGTCATGTGGCCAGCATGACTAAGCTGCTTCTGGCAAACCAGAGCAGTGCACGGAAACGCCGTTTACCTTCCCGCCGAGCGGTACCTATTATCTACTTGCACTTTGACGTG